AACATAACCAAGGGATTTGAGGAGGAAAAGCCATGAGGAACCCACTCTCTGAGGACATGACTCCACCTTTACATTGCAGCAAGCACCACCAGTTCCAAGGGGGTTGGTATCCACAGGGAGCTGCATCCTGGTGGACCTGGAGGTCACATCACCCACTTCATCTTCTGCATGGGGAGAGCTGATTTATAATCAGTTGTTACTGCAGGGTCAGACAAAAGTTACCAGCTTCGCAGCTGCAGCAGCCACATGCCTGACTTGGGACGTGTGGCCAGGGGTGACGCCGTGGTGGCCCATCACTGCAACTCGGGGCTTGCCAGGCTGCCCTGTCCCACTCATTCACCAGCCCGCACAGCCTTGGCTCCTTGCCCCAGCAAGAAGCAAGTACATGCTGCCTCCCTCATGTCTTCATTTTTTTTCACTTTTCTGTGTAGCTGCCACCCACCTGACACAGATGCCAGCAGGGCTGGCAGGGACCCAGCGCTGCCTTTTTGCTTTGCCAAAGGAGGCTGCAAGTGACACAGGTGGGCTCTGCATGTGGCAGAGCCTGGTCCGCAGTGATGCCTCTATCCTGCCATGGTCAGGTCATGTCCAGAGTCCAGCTTGTCCCACTCATCCCATGCCTTAATGGGTCACAGGAAGGTGCTAATTGGTAGGGGAGACCAGCTCACCTCCACAGGGCGCCCACTGGGAGCAAATCTGCTGGTGCTAGCAGGGTTGTCTGGGTGCAGGGCAAGCACGGCAGGTGTGAGGTCCTGCAGCTGAGCATCCCCTCCATGAACATTTCCTTCCTCGGTGGCCATGAGCTGCTGGGTGAGAGCTTGCCTGGCTGTACTGCCCGGGAAGTTGCAGATCTTTCCCCCTCTCTCTGCTCTTGGGGTTGGCTCCTGTACAGATGTTTTTCAGATGAGCTTTTGTGTGTAGCTTCCTCATCCTCTGTCCTGGCCTTCACTCCTTCAGCTCCAGTGTCTCCACCACCACCAGCCTGATAATTCAGTGTCCTTCATGGGGAGGACAAAAGAGCTCTAGCAAAGCCAGTGGTTCAAATTCCAGCTAAGATCCATGTCTGACCATGGAGGAGACCAAAGAACCTTGAAGACTTTGGGGAGCAATGCAGGGGGCTGCTCAGGGTTTTCCTGCAGCCCCCCTTCCCCACAGCCAGCCAGTGTGAAGCCCTGAACACAGACACTGGGCTGGATTTCAGGCAGGGTGGGCAAGGCTGTGCCTCCGCCACAGTTACAGCCACTTGCAGGCTCCCTGGCTGGCTGCAGCGGCAGTGGCCTGGGCGGAGGTTTCTGCTCAGGGAGCAGATAAGTATTTCTGGCTGTGCTTTTTTTCTTTCATGGGCTGTTTCACCTCCACCTCTCGCTGCACTTTGGACGGCAGGTGAATTGTGTTTGGTTAAGTGAGTCATCGCCCCTGCTGCCAGCGTGCCCTTTCATAACGCGCAGACGTCACAGCTTTTAAAGAGGTCAGGTTGTCAGTACTCGGCAGATCTGTCACCCAGAAACCTGTCCTGGTGGATCTGCCGGAGCAAATTGCAGGTTTTCCTTCACAAGTAGCCTGGCATTGTTTCTGTGTGGATTTTAGGAATGTATTGCAGTGAGGTTTGTGGAGTAAAGAGCCCACTCTGCTCTTCTGAAAGAGCAATGCAGGAGTCCTAGAAGGGTTTGCAGAGGAGAGAAGGGTGCTATGGAAGTTCTGTATCCTTAAAGTCATTTTTATGAAAATTAATCCCAAGAAGTTCATTGAATAAAGCTGTGGTATAACTTTCAGCGGCTGATTAACACAGCAAAAAGTCTTGATTTTCAGAATGAAGGGACAAGCTGTAGAAGGATGCAGCGCAGAGGAGCAAGTGTGAGTGCTCTGTAGGGAGCAGGAGCAGCAGCAGGGATTTGACTTTCCAAAACACCCTTTACTTGCAAGACTCGAGTTCTGTTTGGGTTTTGCTTGTCTGATTATTCAGCGCAAAACCATAAGAGTTGTTTCATAGGAAACCTCTGCTTGGCTCTCTGCAGAGATTAGCAGATCATAAGCAGAGCTGCAGGAATCAGCTTTTCTGGGAAAGTCAGGATTTCTAACTGTTGCCATTTTATAGTGGAATAAAAAAGCAGCTTGAAATTTTCCATGAAGGTCACTTGGGAACAGAGCAAAGATTTCTTTTTGATCTCTACCTTAGAGAGGTTTGTTTCCCTAATAGGACACTTTATATAATAAAGCTCCTAGATGCAAGATGAAAAATTTAATTGCAAAATAAAGGTCTAACCTTTCTGTTCTGAAATTGTTGGCATTTATAGAAAAATGCCTTCATTTGGGGGCATCTCTGCATGAAATGGTATGGAAATCGATTCTTTCTCCACACCTAAGGTCTCTTGGCATCTCTGCTGCTCCGAGGCCCCAGACGGCTGCGTGCCATGGGGGGTCCCTGCAGGTACCCTGGATGCTGTGAGGAGGGGCAGCACAACCCCTCCTGATCCCCGAGGACCAGCTGAGGTGATTATATAAAGAGGAGTAAATGTCTGTAAACAAGACTAGCTTAAGTAACTCCACGGACTGCCAGTTTCTCTTGCTGGTCTTCTTTTCCTACTCCACCCCTCCAGAGCCTGACGTGATGGGCGTTTAGCATGGCTCTGCCTATGCTCCTCTCCCAGCCAGCTGAAGGCACATCAGCTCCAAGGAGCCCCTAGTTGAACCTTGCAGATGATTCAGGCAAATGAGGTAGCTAAACACCCCGATTAAGTCAGACCTCATGCCCAGTAGTGCTTGGGAAGCTGCTGGTTGTCACGTCTGTGGGCAAGCACCCATCCCAGCTCACCGAGGTTGTGCTGGGAGGCACCCAGCTCTCCACAGCCATATCCCGCAGGACAGCCACTGTCCCCCTGCAGCTGAGGGTCCTCAGCATCCCCAAAAAACAAATATTCCACCTGCTTTTTGCCTCCTCCACTAAGTGTTTTTAGAGCCCTAATCCACGTGGCTGGTGTGAATGCTCTTGCTATACACCCCGTCACGTCACCCGGCTTCAAGCCAGGGCTGAGATGCAATGAGGACCTAGGGACAACAGGTCATTTGAAATGGTTTTCATCCTGGCAGCTTTCTGGGGAAGCTTGACCAGTTCAAATCAAGGCAGCACACGGGGGCAGAGAGGAGCAAGCTACGTGCAGGGTGAGGTGCCGAAGGCAGGACAGAGAACTGCCAGAGGAGATTCCTGGACATTCACACAGCCAGTCCTTGGGTGTGTTTTGCTTTTTGCTCTTGTGCCACAGGGATCTGGCTGCACATGTTATATTTGCACAGAGCTTAGCACAGTGGCCTGAAGCAGGGATTGTAAAACACAAACGGCAAACTAAGACTTTTCCTGGCTTGGCACCCAACACTGCCTCCAAGGCCATGGAGATGCTGAGATTTGGAGCAGTGTGAGGACACATTGGTGGGATCAGCTGCAGACAGCCGTTTGCAAGCTTCACCCACTTTGGGAGCTGGGGCACAACATGCAGAGGACAATTTTAGGGCTTTTAGCTTGTTACATGAGATATCTGAAAAGCAGAATCTCACTTCAGAGAGATGCAACACCTCTCAGCTCCAACTGAGCATCTACAGGCATGCTTGTCCTTAGAAAATAGTCTGGCACAGAGTTCTTGAAAAGTTTCCAACCTTTAACTTAAAAAGCAAAGGCAGAACCTCTCCTTTTCATGTCCAGATGCAGAGAAATTATTCCAAGAGATTCCCATCCTGCAGGAACATGGCCTGAGGGGACTGTAAAATGCCACAACTCCATATACTATTTGAAAGTAGGTTGTGTCTTGTGCAAGAGTCCCACATACTTGCGCACAGGGGAAAGTTAAATATGTAAAATAACCCCACAGAGGGGCTTACGTTGTCATCCTTGTTCACAGAGCAATAAGGCACTTAGACTCAGCCTTTCCCTGCTGAAGCCAAACCAGCGCATTGAAAGGCAGTTTAGCTTTTGGGGTTGTTTGTTTTTCCGGCCTTTGTCTTTTCCCTTTAATCTTTGGGATGGATAATTAGGACAACATTCCTCAGCATCTTTCCTGCTGTTTGTTGTGATTATACAAGAGCCAGCTGCATTTGTTCCATGAAAACAACATCTAATGCCACGTTCTGTGGTTTCAAGTAAAATCTTCCACTGTGTTGACTCTTAAACTCGAGTTTGTCAGAAATCTACCACTACTCAGGAAAATACCCTTAAAAACAGGCACCTTAAGAAAAACAAATCAAGTCAGCAATGGAGCGGGGAGAGTTTGTGAAGTTTTTATTGATGGTGAGACTTCAGGGCTTGGTCTAATCCCACCAGCAGCAGTGGTGGGTTGGGGGGTGCTGGCACTGGTTTTAAGGGCACAACTCTCCGAGGCCCGGGACAGCCGGCTGCGCCACGGGAGCCGAACAAAACCTTACAAAACTTTACACAACAGCCGAGCGGTTATGAAAGCCGGGAACTCGCTGCCACAAGCCTCATCCCCGGTAGATGGCGGTGCCAGCTCATTTTTCTTAGTTTTTTTTCCCCCCAGTTTTTCCTGGCGCTGGTCCCGGTTCCAGCCCCCCTGCGCTGGGAGCAGCACTGCAGAAAGCCACGAATTTAATGTAGTTTTTTGTTGTGTTTCTTTTTGTTGTTGTTTTTCCCCTGTGACTGATTTTCGTATGTTTTTGATAAATTCGAAATCCCAGGCAGTTGTAACAGCTCAGCACAGCCCGAGGCGTCTGGAGCCGCCTTTTGCACAGCCCATCTGTCCCTGCTCAGGCAGCGTGGAGAGGAGAGGGGGGAGATTAGTACTATCTAATTTTGGGGGACTATGCAGAGCCAGAGAGCCAAAGCCCCGGGATTTCTCTCCAGTCTCTTCCATGGTCTCGAACAAACTTGTTCACCCAGATACCAGCTCCCCACCTATTCCTTTCCTTGGCTGTTTTCTTCTGGGTAGGGACTGACAGCACATGACTGGATGAATGAATGAATGAATGAATAAGTAGCATTTCTCTTTGGAGCCCACAAACACCTTTATTTAGCTAAAAGTGCCAAGTCCCCTCGAGCACAAGCTGTCATTTGCATGAGAGGGTGCATACTGCTGCTCCTGCACAGAAAGGCTAATCTTTGTCGTCCTTCTCATCCTTGTCACTGCCGTGGTCCTGGGGCAGGAACAAAAAGAAGAGGGACAGCACATGAGGGGGGTGCTGGGTGCTTTGTGTCCTGTCCCCCAGTGTCTCTAGGTGTTTGAAAGCAGCTGTAGCCAGCACCCACACAGGAGTTTGTAGGTGCAAAACCCCAGGGCTGGTGTGCAGTGGGGCAGCCAGGCCCCAGCACGGAGCAGGTGGTGTGGTTACCTCCTCCAAGTTGCTGTCAGAGCCGCTTCTGCTCCTCCTGTCCTCTTCCCCGTCTCCCTGCAGGGGTGAACAGAGAAAGACAAGGATGCTGGAGTCCCTGGCACCCCATTTTCTGTCTGAGCTAGAGCCTTGAGGCACCAGATGTTTGGTCTTGTGGGTATCTCAAGCCACAGAGACCTCCAGGGTCAAGAGCAAGAGTTTGGGGGAGTGTGCAGTGCAGGCAGTATCACTGTCCACAGCAGCATCTCAGTTGGGCTGAAATAGGAGGAAATGGCGGGAGAACTAACTAGGAATACTGGGAGCAAAGAGAGAGCCATCTCTCAGTGGAAAAGCCATGCACACAGTGGGATTTCTAGGCTGCGGACAGCGTAGCTCCAAACACCAGAGGCATGGGGTTGCCATGGGTCAAACACACCTTCCCTTCAGAGCCAGGATGTAAATCAGTTGGGGCCGGTGCTTTCTAACACCCTACAAACCCTGTCTGCCGCCCGTGCCAACCATCCTGCTCTGCTGTATTAGGCAGCAAGCTGGGAGCTCTGCACCATTCCTGTCCCCACTGCACTGTGCTTCCCCACTGAGGTGGCCCTACTCCATTGCTGCCTGCCTCCCCCCGGGACACTGATCCTCCTTGCAGGAGCTGGCCCTGTCCCACTGCATGTTGGGCAGCGGGTGCTCAGAGTGCTCCACAGACACTGCACAGCCAGCGGCACAGTTGGTCCAGGCGGTGCCCAGCATGGACACCAGCATCAGATGGTTTGGGAAGTGCTGGGCTCACCCTGAGCACCACTCTGGGGACTCTGAGGCTGGAAACCCTCACAAATGGTTCAGCTGCTGATTTGCAGAAATTTCCATCGTGCCCCCACCTTTTCTTCTTCCTCCTTCTTCCTCTTCTTCTTGTCTTTCTCTTTTTCTCCCTCAGTCTTTTCCTTCTCCTCTCCTTCCTTCTCTTCTTCCTTGTCCGTCTCCTTCTCCTCTCTCTCCTTATCTTCTCGTCCAAACCCTACAACAGGGCACAGAGGGAAGTTCATTGTCAGTGTGCAGCGTCCAGCACACACAAACCCAGCAGGTTCCCCTGGGTTCACACCAAACACTCACATTTCAGGATTGTCGACATTTCACCGAAGCCAAAGAGCTCTGGGGCAGGAGCCTGTCACACCTACAGCACAGCGAGGACCTGAAGGCACAGCTGGAGAGTGGAGCAAGGTGAGCCTTTTGGGGATGAAAACACCTCTCTGGACCCCACCATTCAGTTTTTTCTTCTCCATGAGTGAAAGGGGCCCTGGGCACTTCGTACCCCCAGAACAGCAGGGAAATTGGTAAAGCAGTCTGTGGCATCCACCAAAAAATAAAGGACCAGCCTTGTGCCCGCCCAGGCAGCACCCTTTGCTCTCTGGCCAGGGAGCAGCAAGGGGAAAATGACAGAGGTAGACGGAGAAATCTCAGGCAAAATGGCCAGGGAGATGCCTTAAACCCCCCACAAGCAGGTGCAAATTACAGAGATATTTCAGATTAAATTGGGATGAATCAAAAGAGAGCAGATGTTGGGGAGCCCTGGCAGAAAGGACACCTCCCCCAGGGACAGGGCAATGGCAGGGAGGGAGATGGAGACAGCAGCGAGCAGAAGAGAAGCTGAGACCAACAGCAAGGAAACTCCGAGCATTGATTAGGTGCCTGAAAGGTGACAGATGAGAAGAAAAAAAAGACAGCTTGCTTTAAAAATAGCAGAACCAAATAAAGTCCATGAAATAGTCCAGACAGGTGAAACCCTCCCTCTCATACACAAACAGCAAAACGGGGCAGAGGGAAGGCAACATGGGCGAGGGATTGGGTCCCTCCTGCTCGCAGGGCAGAGCAGGGTTGTTCCCCTGCCACAGCACGTAATTAGGAAACAGTTTCTCTTCCAGCCACTGATGGAAAGGCAGAATATTAATGCTTTCTTTTAATGTTTCTTTAGACACAAAATTACATCATCTGGTTGGTATCTGGGTTTTTTAAAGAGCTGGTTGAAGCCTCAGAGCTGAGAGCATTGAACTGCATTTTCTAGACAGGTTTTAAAACCTCCCGCAGGGCAGCGGGAAGCAGTGGGGTTTGGGGCGGCATCGAGGGAGAGACAGGTTGGATGGAGTGGGCAGGAGTGTGAGAAGTGGCTGATAAAAGGTGTAATCAGTGCAAAGTTACAATCTAATTAATAACGAACAGTAATCTAATTAATCTCTGTAATTAAGAAGTGCAACTACTAATTGAAAATAATTACGTTTTAATCTAAAATCATTAAAAATAATCAAACGTTAACAAAAGAAAAGGCAGCCCCTGGGAAGGCGCAGAGAAGGTGTAGCTGATGTCCTGACCCCAGGTCCTGTTCACCAAAGCTGCTCCGCAGCTCCCACGGCATGTGCCCAGCCCCAATTCCGCAGTGGATGCCCCTGCCTTTTGCCTTCACTGCCAGGAGTGAGCAGAGAGGAAAGGCACAAGGTACAGAGGTGAACCTCAAGCTCTGCACTCCAAGATGGACAACCAGACCAAAGCCCAGCAGCCGGGGCTGGGAAGGGATAGTGCTGCCCCAACATTTGCTAAGAAATGCCACCATGGAGGGGTTACAAACCCTTAATCCTCCACCGATGGCTAATCCTGTCCCTAGAAACCAACCCAGCTGACTCTCAAGAGATGAGGTGGGGTCCCACACCCTGGGGTGCTACCACACTCCTGCCTGGGGGAAGGGGTGCCACCCAGCACCCTGTGCAGCCCCTGCTGTGGGTGGTAGCTCAGATGAAGGCTGCTAACACTCAGCTTTTTCCCATTCCAGCCTAGCAGATCCAGTTTTGCCTGTTCCTTCGGAGCCTCGGCCACCCAGCATTTTGAGCAGGCAGGTTTCCCTGCCCCAGGTGAGCTGGTTCCCTAAAGCCTGAGCAGACAAAACAACAAAACCCAGCGACCCCACTGACAAGCTGCGATTGTCCTCCATGGCTGAGCAAAGCACGAGGTGCATGTGGATCAGACCTCTGGCTAACAGCGCAAACCTGCACGTTCACATCCCACCAGATGCAAGAACCTGGACGGCCTCACCCCCCCAGGCACAAGGGGCTTACACGTCGCAGTGTCTGTGCCCACTCCCATCTCACCCAGGGCACTGAAGCCCTTCCTGCGAGGTTCAGGCATGATGCCCCATGATGCCATCCCCATCCCAAGACCACATAGAGCATGAGCTGTCCTGAGGATGCTTCTGACACACCCTCTCTGCCCTCCCGCTCTGCTTCTCCAGCCCGTAAAATTGATATGCAAGTCTGTGAATCTCCTTGATGACACAAGGGAGATAAGAAAGCGCCTTACCTGGTGCTGAAAAAGGCAAGTGGCCTTCCCGATGCCTGGCTGGCAGCTACCAGGGATCTGGGTATTTGAGTGTTTCGGTCTCCTCCCCAGTCCCACTTTCAGAGCAGAAAAACTGGCTCTGCCACCTGCCATGGACAGCACATGACACCAGGAACATGACCAGTCCCAAGCGTACCTGGAAGAGGCATTGCCTCTGGCATGGGCAGGAGGACCCTTTGCAAGCAAGCCAGGACAGCTCTGGAGGCTGCAGACATCCACAGGGACCAGCCCTGGGACTAGGGAGGGCACTGAGGACTCAAGGTGGGAATGTGCTATGGTCAGGACCCTGCTGGAAGTGGAGAAGAGGGGATTTGGGGGTGTCCTTAAAACCATGGTGAGAGGAGGTCCTTGCTCTCCTCTTGGTGGGAGGTGTCAGGTGGCTCCAGGAGGTCCAGGCAAGGCAAGACCAGGCCAGGCAGAGCTCAGCACTCCCAGCTCCTTCCGATGCTTGCCCTTGCTGCTGGCTTTCTCACCAACATATCATTAAGCAAATACCTGTCAGCAGAGAGCAGTTACCAGCAGGTCTAAACACTTGCATAATGTGCTTCCCCTCTAATGCAATGCCCTCATTTCTAATAGCACCAATATGGGATAATAACAGTAACAATAATGTCACAAAGGGCTTGTGTACCTGAAAGCTAATTTGTTTTCTCCACCTAATGAAAGGTATTACTTCTCCCACAAGATTTGCCCCATTTAAAGCCTTCAACTCTACAACAAAGTTGCTCCTGCAGTCATTTGACTTTAATTTATAGTAATTGCAGCATGCAGAGAGCCCCCTCCCACTGAGTGAGACTAACCCTGGGTAACTCATGCAGGGAGCAAGCAGCTATACAGAAGTGACTCGCCCCAAAAACCCGGCCATGTCTCCCCAGGCCTCCTCCACCAGAGCCTGCACCAGCCCCAAATGCAGAGCAAGAGTCCCCTTGGCAGGTTTAGATCAGAAATAAGGGATAGGTTTTAACAGCAAGGGTGGATAAACCCTGGAGCAGCTCAGCAAAGCCAGGGGCAGAGTCCCTGTTGCTGCCAGTTTTACAATCAATAGCAGTGGTGCTTTCTAGCAGAGATGCTTCAGCTCATGCACAAATCATTCAGGGCACTCCCTGAGCGCTCAGTCTTGGGGCAAACGATGGCAGCAATCCCGCCTGTCCTGGTGCGACGCAGCCAGGGAACTCGGGGTGCAGCGCAGGAGCTCGGTGCAGACACGCACAGGGAGCACAGCGCGGAGCCCTGGGCCGGATCCAGGGAGGCTGTTTGGTGTCGGGGAGCGGCTGGCATCCAACCCCACTGCTCTGAGCAACTCCTGCCGCCTTAGGAGGATCCTCCCCCACAAACACCACGCTCAACCTTATTTTTAACTGGTGACCTCATTGCTTGCTCCCTGCCAGCCCCAGCCAGGCTCTCAGTACTCTGATGCAAGGAAACTAAGCCTGCAGCATCCTCCAGTTAGAGCAGCCCAGAGGACAGCCTTGCCATCGTCCCCAGGACACAGCATCCCCCTAGGGAAGTGGCTCTCAGGGAGCACCCAGCCCATCGGGCCAGACTGCAGCCACCAGCATCTTACACCGGGGTGGCTGGACCACCCAGCAGGACAGCAGAGAGTGGCAGCCACAGGCACTTCTAGACCCCAGCCCACAAACCTGGGCTCTGCTCTCACCCTGCAGCCAGCACAAAGCTGCCTTTGAAGGAAGGAAAGCAACCTGCCAGGCACCAGCCGAAACACCAGCACGTGGCCACCTCCAAGCTGCTGGCAAAGCACAGAGCTGCGAGGGACTAGCAAAACTCCCAGAAAGCATTAATTAGCACAGTAGGGACACTTATGTCCTCCGTTTCTGTGCCAAGGAGCCTTTGGCTACAGAAGACCAATCTCTCTGCTTAATCACATCATTTAGACCACTGTTTATTTAGGATCCATTGTGCACACCTGTGAAAGAAATGCAAGAGCTCTCCTCCTCCTCCTGCCATTTCTTCCCTTCCTGCCTCTGAGTCAGGCCATTTTTGTGTTGCAGGTGACCTGGGACAGCTGTCCCCTCGCTCCAGGCCACCAGTGGCAACAGAGCTGCTGTTTCTCCCAAACAAGGACAACTGCTCATCCCACCCGTGTCAGAGGTTTTGCTGCTACTGAATGTGCACGTTTTAATAATGAAAAATGAGTCCCTGGGAAGCTGGTTGAGCAAGGGCTGGGCAAGTCCCAAAGCCCATCAGGAGGATCGAGCCTTTTTTATGTTTTAAACCTTTCCATGGAAGCTGCCAGGAAGCAGCTTTTACAGCTGCAAGTAACAGAATCTCTCCCAAGGAAAGAAAATAATTGTGGAAGCCTTTTTATTTTTTTCCTTTTCCAAGTCACTGCCAGCATCTTAGCTAACTCTTATCTATTCTCAGCCACCTCTCACCTCCCCAAACACTACCAGAAGTGCTCAAATTACTGCCAGCTCTTATTAGGTTCATGCACAAGGCAAGGCCGAGTGCTAAGACCTCCAGACAGTCAGATGCTGAATTCTGATGAATCCTTTGGGTAGGAAGATTTCAGCAACTGCAGAACTGTTTTTGTTAGCTATCTATTGCAGCCCTTGCACCGGTACACAAGTGAAGCTAGTGCATGTTTTATTACTGGCTGCTATAACAAAACCCAGGTGGGCATATGACTGAAAGAATTACTGTTCGCATCTTAAAAAAATTAAAAAAAAAAAAAAAAAAAAAATCACCTGATTCCCTTAATTATTAAACTACACTAAAGCATTGCAGGTCAGTAGAATTTATCTGCAAGAAAAGCAGCTGCTGCTTCATAAAACCCTGTTACCTTTATTTCTTTTCTGACATTTCTGTAAATTTTGGCTTTGCAGCAGAAGCAAAGCTGCCGTTTTGCACTGATGCAGGAATTGAGAGCTCAGCTGTAGGAGCTCTCACTCCCCAGCCTGGGTTCAGAACCCTCCTTACCATGAGACAAACATCCTGCCATGAGAAAAGCCCCAGCTGTCCTGGGCCCAGAGCAGCACACAGCCCTACCCCACAAACCAGTCAGGGCTGAGAAGAAAAAAACCCAGTTAATTCTTCTCATTTTGTTTGTGCCCACTGCTATCTTGATAGCTTTTAACTGAAACAGTTGTCAAAACAAATCCTTTCTTCAAAAATGCTATCAACCAAAAGAAGAAAAAAAAAAAAAGTTTATTGTAGTGCAGATTTTTTTACCACAGACATACTCCTTTCAAGTCTAGTTTTAAGATGCAAAAAAGGCTCTCCCTTTAGAGATCTGATCAGTCTAACCACGATTAAGGCAAGGCTTTCTCCATATATATAAAATGAGAGGAGCATTAGCCAAAAGGTATTTTAATAATAAAAACACTTCTCTACTGCACAAATAGAGCAGAGGAATGTTAAGCCTTCAGTACAGCAGAAATGTGCAAGACCTGCTAAAACCCAGAGGATTTTTGAAGCAGGATTTGAGCATCATTGTTGCCAATGAGCAAGTACAGAGGCAGGTGTGACACTCAGTCACCTCTGGTTAGCTATTCTGGACTTCTTGAAGTTCCATTTTAGCTGTGCATTTCTGCTCTCGTGAATCCAACAGAGGCTGCTCCCTCCCAATGGGCAAGCTCAAAAGATAGAAATTGCAAAGAAGGAACAAAGCAGGGAACTTTCACAGCACAAAGAAACAGACACCGTATGCGGAGCAGCTTCTGAGACAAATTAGGACTCCCACTAACAGAACCAAATTGCTTCCTCTCCCCCTGCTTTAATATACCTTCCAAGAAGAAGGAGCATTTTATTATAGTGCTTTTACACACAAACAGGAGAAAAGCAGTATCTGAGTTTGTGAACAGTCTGCAGCTGACATGTCAAGCTGCACTGAGGAAGGGGAATCCTCCTGATAAATTCTTTCATTAAATTGCCCAAACACAAATCAATCCCTTTTAGCCAGTTCTCATTTATGGCTATAAAGCAAAGTACCCACTTTCTTAGGGCCAGATCAGCATTTTCCCAGTTCATGCTGAAGCAAGCACTCTGCAAGAGAATGAGAAACAGCACCCTAGTGAGACTCCCCATCCCACATCCCTGAGTCATTAACAGACATCTTCAAGAAGCCGGGGCTTCTCTTCAGCAACAGCAGCTTGATAAAGAATCCTCTCTGCTCTATTGTTTCCAGACTAGGAACTGCAAGGTTCATAATCATAAATATTTGCCTTTTCTTGCACCTCCTATCCAATATTCACTTCAACACCAAACACAGAGCTATCAGGAATTTAATTACGCCTCTCCAACTTAAAAATCACACCATGATTTTAGCTAACTCTTTAACTAGCCAGCTGCTTTTCTCCAGCATTGTCTTCACAGGCCAGAAAGCTTCTCCAAAGAGCTTGTTAACACATACAGCAGAGGGATTTCAGTGAAAAGACATAGACAGTCCACAAAAAACAGGGAAGCAATCTGCACTTTAAGTCTGTCACGTTGTCCACCAGCCTGGACTATGCTAATCACATCTCTCAATGTGCTGTAAGAGCTGTCATTGCCAGACTGCATTTAATCACCGTTCTTGCAGCAGCAGTGATCAGAGTTAATCTTTTTCCCTTTAATAAGGGCTATTCTCCAGCATGGAAACTACGAAGTGGGAAGGTGAAAAAGTTCTTAATTAGAGGGATTTTTATTACTGCGATAGTTCCGTTCTAGCCTCAATGAGAGAGATCTGCAGTACAGGCAGCAAGAGCTGGAAGGCATCTTGGATATATGAAGCACTGTTTGAAGCCTATGAAAACAAAAACCAAAATACACACATGATTAATTATGCTACCAATCAGCTTTACAAACCACATACTCATTTCGAACAGCATTGATTAATGCACACAAGAAACAGAAGCCCAGTGCTTGTTGTGTTTTTAAGGTTTCATTCTAGAAATCAATTTAAGTTTTTGAGGGGCTTTATGCCACTAGGCAAAAAAGCAAGTGGCTTAAAAACTGCCAAACAAGATCAGGTGCAATCCAAATGCAGGATACTGGTTTTGATAACAAACGAGAAGAATTTATTTCAACGTGAAGCACAAGCATGCTGTGGCAGGAAGGAA